CTCTGTCTACATAGGGACCCTAACTAAGCCCTGTTGGGCATGGTGAAATGCATCAGGGTGTGTGATGTGGTGGAGACATGTAGGCTAAGGCTGTTCCTTATCGATTGTTCACCTGGGCTGGTCAGGAGTAGCGGTGATCCTTGTTCTGGAACACAAGAATATGCTTTCACCTCTACTTTGAGCAATGCCAAAAGCAATATAACAGTTCACAATGGAAATTTTTGTTAGAAATATTTGGCAAGATAATTTTTGAGTATCAAGGGGATATTGGTACAATCTCTTTTAACCACTTCTTGACCTCGCTATAGCTGAAAGACAGCTACAGTGAGCTCTCCAGTTCAGGGAGGGTATCAATAAATGTCCTGCTAAAACAGCACCTTCTGTATGCCCCCGTGAGGCACAAATCAGGTGCACTCTGACTGCTGTGTTCTGTGGACACAGCTGTTCATAGATCATGATAAAGGTCCTTTTCCATGTGACCAGCTGTGTCGAATCACAGCTGGTCACATGCAAACAGACCAGTTATCAGCAGTCCTTTCCTTAGACACTGTCTCCGTGTGAGGAAAGGAGAGCCGATAACCAGCAAAGCTGACAGTACATTGTTTACACTGTTAATCAGGGCACTGATCAATGACCTGATTATCAGTGCAGTCTAATCAGTGCCAATAAGTGTCCATCAGTGTAGCTTATTAGTGCCACCTCATCAGTGCCCATCAGTGCAGCCTCATCAGTGCCCATCCGTTCAGCATATCAGTGCCCATAAAAGCAGCCTCATCAGCACACATCAGTGAAAAAAGAAAAATTACTTATTTGCAAAATTTTATAACAGAAAACTAAAAGAAACATTTTTTTCCCCAAAATGTTTTGCCTTTTTTCATTTTTTTTTAGTAAAAAAAATTAAAAACCCAATGGTGATTATATACCGCCAAAAGAAAGCTCTATCTGTCTAAAACAAATTAGAAAAATGTAATGGGTACAATGTTGCATGACCACACAATTGTCATTCAAAGTGCGACAGCCCTGAAAGATGAAAATTGGCCTGGGCAGGAAGGACGTGAAAGTGTCCAGTATTTAAGTGGTTAATAATATTGTATATAGAAGTAGTAATTTACTATTAGCACTACCAGAGTAGTAGCAGTAGTGGTAGAAAAAGCAGTAATACTAACACCAGCTGAAGAAGTAACAACTGTTAGATACTCTGGGTCCCATTTTCTGAGTATCTGAAAAAAGGACCTTATTGCCTACTGCAGGGGTCTCCAAAGTTTTCAAACAAAGGGCCAGTATACTGTCCTTCAGACTTTAGGAGGGCTGGATTAGGGCCAGTGAGGATATAAAATGTCTTGGCCCCAGCATCAGGGAGAATAACATGGCCTCAGTGTTGTTGGTCAGTAGGAGGAGGAGTAGTGTCCCACCATTGGTATTAGAGGGAAGAATAGTACAGCATCATTGGTTTCATGGGAAGAAGTACTGCCCCATTGTTGGCCTCAGTTGGAGGAATAGTGCCCCGAGGGCCAGATAAAGGGTAGCAAAGGGCCACATCTGGCCCTTGGACCGCAATTTAGAGACCCTTGGTCTACTGTAACCAATCAAATGACAACCAACCAAATCAGAACCTTTCATGACATGGCAGTAGGGCTCCAAGTAGTGGCACATGGCCAAAAACACATCATGGTGCTGACTGCTATTAACACATCACTGTGTATAATAAATGGTTCTAGACTGCCAATCTGCTTGTCAGTGCAACATCAAGATACTCCAGTGACACTGCCAGATGCTGGAGTGTCCCTAGTAAAAATTTTGTATTGGCAGCTAGGATGTAGCTGGTGGTAAAAGATGTACAGTATGTGTGTAGGGTCTAGTCCTTGCCTCCCAGACCTGCTGCCCAAAGGTCTTCTCATGGGTCCTGGGACTAGGTCTGAAGAATCTGGAGTGGTCTGTGCTAGGCAAAAAGGTGGCTGCCAGTAAGAAGCAGAGGAGTCTGCTATGCAGAAGAATGTCCAAAAGAGTTTGCGGTCAGCTGCTGCTGGATGTACAAAAAAAGAATACCACAGCAGCATATGGCTCTTGTATACTAAAACCAGTATATTTAATTATATTTAAGTGTAAAAACAGATCAGTTGTTTTATATAGAGAATACTGCAGATATATCAGTGAGAAGTCTGTGCTAAGTATTTCCAATATAATGAGATTATGAAACATTACAAAAACCTTCATGATACTACTTTGTATTGCAGTTTATCTTCAGTAAAAGGGGCAGAGACCCAACAAAGTGTCAAAACCAGCCAACAATAAATCTGACTTGTAGAGTGTATTTCCCAATGTTTAGTTAGATGACTGTTATTCTGCTTTTATTCTATAATGCTTCCCTTTTAATTCACTTCTAAGATGATGATCTGGACAGGCCTCTGCAAGTATAACCTTCTATGTGTGTTTTTAGGCTTAGTCTTACTTTTGTGGCATTTAAACATATTTATTGAGAAAAGTAGTTGATAGACAATTATGGCAACATCTAGCAATCTGTATTGTTCAGAACACAGGTGGTCCCCAGCACACAATCAAGCTAGTCAGCAAAGAAACTAGATAATTTGTGTAACAGAGGTTTTAGTTACATACATTTGCAAATAGATGTGAAAGCCACACTACCTCTAAACTATCTGAAATAGGAAACATACTAGAGGTCAGTTTACACATGTACCTTTCCCGTACTGCACTTAAATGTGCTGTCCTTGCTAAACATGCGTAGGTGCCAATAATTGTTAACACTGCATTTGCAGCCACCAAACTACATGGTACCGCAGTACCATGCAGTCTGGTGTGGGGCAAATCTGAAAAAGTAGTGCTTGCTCCCGTGTGTTTGGCAGTTCATTCAAATGAAAAGGGCTGTCAAAATAGACTGCACAGGAAAACATAAGAAAATGTATGTTCAAACCAGGGGCGGACTGACAATTTGGAAACTCGGGCACTGCCCGAGGGCCCGGGGTCAGTAGGGGGCCCCATGAGATGCCCCTGGTACCTTTTTCATAGGCTTTTTTGAGTTTGGGCAAGGACACAGGGGCCCCATGATCCCCTATTGCCCGGGGCCCCATGAGTTGTCAGTCCGCCCTTGGTTCAAACATATGCATTTCAGTGTGGACAAGCCCACAACATCACACCATAAATCCAGACATCACGTTTACAAGGCAGCTGAAGACTTCCACCATATGTCTGAATCAAAATAAAAAAGCAATAATGGTAGCCACTCCAATGTGTTTAAAACTAGCACAACAGGAGTCCACAGCACATTTTCAAGCAAGTCAGCAAAAACACAGGTTTTGGTTGCATTCATTTGTAAATGCACGTGGACACCACCCTGCTGCATCTCAAGCAAACTTTTCAAGAATCCTGTGATGTGCAAACATTTTATTTTGCTCCTTAAAGTTGACAGGTAAATACACAGACAAAATAAATATTACATATGTATTACAACTACCGAACGATCTGTAGTTCTGTCCATACAGTTAAGAGCGTTATACAGCTTTGCCAAACAGCACAGGACTATCTGGTATGTGATATACATCAACACAGTAATATTGTGCTATATATTCCGTGAAGGGTACAATCATAAATCAAACAAATAAATATAAAATGTTCCAAACACTTATGTGTTTGGCCCTTTTAAATATGCCATCACGGTCATGTGACTTCTTCAGGGATCCTGAAGAAGTCACGTGACTGTGACGACACATGTTGGGTGGAGCCAGGTAACGAGTCCCAAAACCGGTATTAATGTGGAAGCTGAGGCCCCGCTCTCTGTCATATTTTGGCTATCAATGTTGGCTATGTAAGTGCAATATCATTTATTAAAGTTTATTTTTAAATCTACTACACTATGGGGATATCCTTTGTTGCATGAGCTTTATTACAGAGTGGGAGGCGGATACTTTATTGCATAAGTATTTGGAATACAGCGTATATGTCCTGCAGCATCAGCTGGAGTGACAGTCTAGTGAAGCAGAGCCTGTGACTGTCCCCAGAGAGGGAAAAGCACTTTTAGACCTGAACACACTCAGGTCTCATCTATTGGTGAACGCATATGTGAACGGTGGTGGGACACACTGTATATGTCAAGATTGAACCATGGATGGTGAATTTGGTTGGAATTTACTGGATATCACCATTTTTAGACAACACTTATAAACTTGGACACTGCACATTTTTTTTTTTAATTGTCTGATTTTTGATTGTACCCATCACAGAATATATAGTACAATATTTCTGTGTTGATGTATTTCACATATATGGTATTGATACATAATTAGAGATGAGTGAATCGAACTTGGCGAAGTGGAATTCGTTTTGAATATTAGGAAAATTTTGAATCCGAAAATTAGCAGACTTCGGATGCGCGAATCGAAATTTTTCCAAAAATGGCAGCGACATGTGCGGCGACGGAGCAGGGATCTGTGGGAAGGCGCGCAGACAAGGCGCGCTGACCCATAATGCATTCATTCATGACATGTGATCGCATTAGCCAATCAGCAGTCAGCCAGCAGCACTGTGTAATGGTCGAGCTATAAATTGCGGCCATTTTAGAATTCTCCATTAGCCTCCAGTCATTCAAGAGAGACAGACACCTGTCTGTATTGAGGGACAGAGTTAGGGCCACAGAATCGTTACTTAGGGACACAGAACCGTTACTTAGGGACACACAATCGTTACTTAGGGGACACAGAACCGTTACTTAGGGACACAGAACCGTTACTTAGGGACACAGAATTGTTACTTAGGGACAGACACAGAATTGTTACTCAGGGACAGACACAGAATTGTTACTGAGGGACACAGAATTGTTACTGAGGGACACAGAATTGTTACTCAGGGACAGGCACAGAATTGTTACTGAGGGACACAGAATTGTTACTGAGGGACACAGAAGTTACTGAGGGACACAGATTGTTACTCAGGGACAGACACAGAATTGTTACTCAGGGACAGACACAGAATTGTTACTGAGGGACACAGAATTGTTATCAGGGACACAGAATTGTTACTTCAGGGACACAGAATTGTTACTCAGGGACAGACACAGAATTGTTACTGAGGGACACAGAATTGTTACTGAGGGACACAGAATTGTTACTCAGGGACACAGAATTGTTACTGAGGGACACAGAATTGTTACTCAGGGACACAGAATTGTTTACTCAGGGACAGACACAGAATTGTTACTCTAGGGACAGACACAGAAATTGTTACTCAGGGACAGACACAGAATTGTTTAGGGAGGGACACAGAATTGTTACTGAGGGACACAGAATTGTTACTCTGGGACAGACACAGAATTATTACTCAGGGACAGACACAGAATGTTACTGAGGGACACAGAATTGTTACTGAGGGGACACAGAATTGTTACTCAGGGACACAGAATTGTTAGGAGGGACTCAGAATTGATATGAGGGACACAGAATTGTTACTCAGGGACAGACACAGAATTGTTATCAGGGACAGGACACAGAATTGTTACTGAGGGACACAGAATTGTTACTGAGGTACACAGAATTGTTACTGAGGTACACAGAATTGTTACTGAGGGACACAGAATTGTTACTCAGGGACACAGAATTGTTACTCAGGGACAGACACAGAATTGTTACTCAGGGACACAGAATTGTTACTGAGGGACACAGAATTGTTACTCAGGGAACAGAATTGTTACTCAGGGACAGACACAGAATTGTTACTGAGGGACACAGAATTGTTACTGAGGGACACAGAATTGTTACTCAGGGACACAGAATTGTTACTCAGGGACAGACACAGAATTGTTACTCAGGGACAGACACAGAATTGTTACTGAGGGACACAGAATTGTTACTGAGGGACACAGAATTGTTACTCAGGGACAGGCACAGAATTGTTACTGAGGGACACAGAATTGTTACTGAGGGACACAGAATTGTTACTGAGGGACACAGAATTGTTACTCAGGGGACAGACACAGAATTGTTACTCAGGGACAGACACAGAATTGTTACTCAGGGACAGCCACAGAATTGTTACTGAGGGACACAGAATTGTTACTCAGGGACACAGAATTGTTACTAGGGACACAGAATTGTTACTCAGGGACAGACACAGAATTGTTACTGAGGGACACAGAATTGTTACTGAGGGACACAGAATTGTTATCAGGGACACAGAATTGTTACTGAGGGACACAGAATTGTTACTCAGGGACACAGAATTGTTACTCAGAGACACAGAATTGTTACTCAGGGACAGACACAAGAATTGTTACTCAGGGACAGACACAGAATTGTTACTCAGGGAGGGACACAGAATTGTTACTGAGGGACACAGAATTGTTACTCAGGGGACAGACACAGAATTATTACCTCAGGGACACAGAATTGTTACTCAGGGACACAGAATTGTTACTCAGGGACACAGAATTGTTACTCAGGGACAACAGAATTGTTACTGAGGGACACAGAATTGATACTGAGGGACACAGAATTGTTACTCAGGGACAGACACAGAATTGTTACTCAGGGACCACAGAATTGTTACTGAGGGGACACAGAATTGTTATCAGGTACACAGAATTGTTACTGAGGGACAGACAGAATTGTTACTGAGGGACACAGAATTGTTACTTCAGGGACACAGAATTGTTACTCAGGGACAGACACAGAATTGTTACTCAGGGACACAGAATTGTTACTGAGGGACACAGAATTGTTACTCAGAGGGACACAGAATTGTTACTCAGGGACAGACACAGAATTGTTACTGAGGGACACAGAATTGTTACTGAGGGAACAGAATTGTTACTGAGGGGACACAGAATTGTTACTCAGGGGACACAGAATTGTTACTCAGGGGACAGACACAGAATTGTTACTGAGGGACACAGAATTGTTACTCAGGGACACAGAATCGTTGAATTAAAAGGATGGTATGTCAGACAACACGTCAAGCAGGAGGAGTCAGGGAGGAGGCAATGTTTTAGGAGCGAGCAGATGTGGCAGCAGAGGAAGGGGTCAGAGGCAGCATAGTCGCACCAGAATTGCCAGTGCTCCCGGTGACATCCAGCGGTGTGTCTCCACCGACAACCCTGCCGTCATCGATTGGTTGGTTGGTCGCCTTCTTCTTCCCAGGTCACCTCTGTTACAAACAGGGGTCGGTGGGTTACGTCAGGGGACACAACCGTTAGTTGGCAGGGAGCAGCCACTGAAATCACGTGTCCTTACCTGCCCCTGTCTTTGGTGTTCCCTCACCAAGCGAAGTATCGCATGCTGTGGGCTCAGCCCATTCACTGTACAGTGAGGAAGAGCTAACAGAGGGCGGTCAGGAACGGGGGGAGACATCCGCCTCTTCAGCAGCCAGGCGAAGAATCTGTACTTGGCGAGGAGAGAATTCGGTAGCTCAGGGTCTAGAGACAGGTCTGTCTCCTGACCCACACGCAGCGAGGGGGCTAGTAGTGAGGCGGAGACCCTAATTGATGATGATGAGGCTGATCGCACTTGGCAGGGCCTCGTCGTCATCAGGCTATTGCTTACGCAGATCATCAGGGGAAGAGGGTGCCAGCTTGGCAGGGAGCAAAACAGTCGGTGGGTTGCCCAGGAGGCAGCAGGGTCCACAGCAGTGTCAATGGAGGCAAATGGCCACGGGTACAGCACCAGCTCCACTGCAGCCTACCACCCACGGCCAGTAGTGGTGCCGGTGTGCACGGAGGAAGTAGCAGTCAGCCAGTGAGGAGTAGCGGGGGAAAGTTTCCTACTCGGCGGTGTGGCAATTTTTTGTAAAGCCGCATGAGGAAGTAAACAGAGCCGTATGTCGACTATGTGGCCAGAAAGTCAAGCGTGGCCAGGGGGCCCATGTTGGGACACAGCTTTGCGTCAGCATATGCAGCAGGTCGCCATTTGGTGGCCTGGGCTAAACCGTGATAAGATACGGCAGGTTTGCCTGCCTCCTCATGCTGATGCCAGGTCCAGAGTGAGGTGTTACTGGGTCCCTGTACGGCCTCCCATTGCTGCTGTCTCCATCGCCACACTCTGCCATGTGCCACTTTCAGGATCTCCTCACACTGCTGGTGTGTTCCATTTTGTCATAGGGGTGCTGGCAGATTTTACGGGCCTCCCATTGTGCAGCCAGGCCCGTAAACTTGGTTGCCATGGGGCCCCGTGTACCGCCTCCTCATGTGCTGCAGGTCCAGAGTGTGTCATGGGTCCTGTACGGCCTCCCATTGCTGCTGTCTCCAGCCACATCTTACTGTGCCACTTTTCAGGTCTCCTCACACTGCTGGTGTGGTTCATTTTGTATTGGGTGCTGGCAGCTTACGGGCAGCTCCCATTGCTGGTGCCAGGCCGTAAGTTTCTACCATGGGCCCTGTACCGCCTCCTCATGCTGCTGTCCAGACACAGAGTGTTACTCATGGGGCCCTGTAGGCCTCCATTGCTGCTGTCTCCATCGCCACACTGCCATGTGCCACTTTCAGGTCTCCTCACACTGCTGGTGTGTTCCATTTTGTCATAGGGTGCTGGCAGATTACGGGCCTCCCATTGCTGCTGCCAGGCCGTAATCTGCATGGGCCCCTGTACGCCTCCTCATGCTGTTGCCAGGTCAGAGTCTCTCATGGACCCTGTACGGCCTCCCATTGCTGCTGTCTCCATCGGGCCACACTTGCATGTTACTTTCAGGCTACTCACCTGCTGTGGGTTCCATTTTGTCTATAGGGTGCTGGCAGATTACGGGCCTCATTGCTTGCTATATAGGCCCGCCCTGTTACGCTCCTGCCATGGGCCCCCGTACCGCTCCTCAATGCTGCTGCCAGGTCCAGAGTCTCTCATGGGTCCTGTACGGGCCTCCCATTGATGCTGTCTCCATCGCCACACTCTGCCATGTGCCACTTTCAGGTCTCCTACCACACTGTGGTGTGTTCCAATTTTGTCATAGGGTGCTGGCAGATTACGGGCTCCCATTGCTGCTTGCCAGGCCCGTAATCTGCCATGGGCCCTGATATCGACCGCCTCCTCATGCTGCTGCCAGGTCCAGAGTCTGTCATGGGTCCCTGTACGGCCTCCATTGCTGCTGTCTCCATCGCCACACTCTGCCAATGTGCCACTTTCAGGTCTCCTCACACATGCTGGTGGGTTCCATTTTGTCATAGGGTGCTGGCAGATTACGGGCCTCCCTTCATGCCATTGGTGCTGCAGGCCCGTTAATCTGTGCCATGGGCCCCCTGTGTACCGCTCCTCATGCTGGGCTGCCAGGTCCAGAGCCTCCTTGTCATGGGTCCCCACGTCAGTACGGCGCTCCCATTGCTGCTGTCTCCATCGCCACACTCTGCCATGTGCCACTTTCAGGTTCCTCACACTGTGGTGTGTTCCATTTTTGTCATAGGGTGCTGGCAGATTACGGGCCTCCCATTGCTGCTGCCAGGCCCCCGTAATCTGCCATGGGCCCCGTACCGCCTCCTCATGCTGCGGCCAGGTCCAGAGTCTCTCATGGGTCCCTGTACGGCCTCCCATTGTGGTGTCTCCATCGCCACACTTGTCCATGTGCCACTTTCAGGTCTCCTCACCACTGTGGTGGGTTCCATTTTGTCATAGGGTGCTGGCAGATTACGGGCCTCCCATTGCTGCTGCCAGGCCCGTTAATCTGCCATGGGCCCTGGTACCGAACTCCTCATGCTGCTGGAGGTGCAGAGTGTTCTCATGGGGTCCTGTACGGCCTCCCATTGTGCTGTCAGCCTTTAGTCGAGCCACACTCTGCCATGTGCACCTTTCAGGTCTCCTCACAATGCTGGTGTGTTCCACTTGGGTCATAGGGGTGCTGGCAGATTAGGGCCTCCCATTGCTGCTGCCAGGCCCGTAATCTGCCATGGGCCCCGTACCGGTCTAATGCTGCTGCCAGGTCCAGAGTCTGTCATGGGTCCCATAGGGTACGGCCAATGTGTGCCCATTGCTGCTGGGCCTCCATCGCCAGGCACTCTGCCATGTGCACGCCACTTTCAGGTCTACCTGCATCCTCAACTTTGCTGTGGGTGGGTTCCATTTTGTCATAGGGTGCTGGCAGATTTAGGGCCTCCCATTGCTGCTGCCAGGCCCGTGATCTGTCATGGGCTGTGGTGACCGCCTCCTCATGCTGCTGCCAGGTCCAGAGTCTCTCATGGGTCCCTGTACGGCCTCCCATTGTGCTGTTCCATCGACAGCAGACTCCTGTAGATGATGTGCCACTTTTCAGGTCTCCTCACACGCTTGTGTGTGTTCCATTTTGTCATAGGGTGGGGGCAGTGGTACGGGCAGTGGCAGTCCCCATTGCTGCTGCCAGTGCGGTGTGGTACCTTGATCTGCCATGGGCCCTGTCACGCCTCCTCTGCTGCTGCCAGGTCCAGAGTCTCTCATGGGTCCCCTGTAGGCCTCCCATTGCTGCAGGGTCTCCATCGCCACCACTATGCCATGTGCCACTTTCAGGTCTCCTCACACTGTGGTGTGTTCCATTTTGTCATAGGGTGCTGGCAGATTACGGGCCTCCATTTGCTGCTGCCAGGCCCGTAATTGCCATGGGCCCCTGTACCGCCTCCTCATGCTGCTGCCAGGTCCAGAGTCTTCATGGGTCCCTGTACGGCCTCCATTGCTGCTGTTCTCCATCGCCACACTCTGCCATGTGCCACTTTCAGGTCTCCTCACACTGCAGTATGGTGTGTTCCATTTTGTCATAGGGTGCTGGCAGATTACGGGCCACCCATTGCTGCTGCCAGGCCCGTAAATTGCATGGGCCCCTGTACCGCCTCCTCATGCTGCTGCCAGGTCCAGAGTGTTCATGGGTCCCTGTACGGCCCTCCCATTGCTGCTGTCTCCATCGCCACACTCTGCCATGTGCCACTTTCAGGTCTCCTCACACTGCTGGTGTGTTCCATTTTGTCATAGGGTGCTGGCAGATTACGGGCCTCCCATTGCTGCTGCCAGGCCCGTAATCTGCCATGGGCCCTGTACCGCCTCCTCATGCTGCTGCCAGGTCCAGTGTCTCATGGGTCCCTGTACGGCCTCCCATTGCTGCTGTCTCCATCGCCACACTCTGCCATGTGCCACTTTCAGGTCTCCTCACACTGCTGGTGTGTTCCATTTTGTCATAGGGTGCTGGCAGATTAGGGCTCCCATTGCTGCTGCCAGGCCCGTAATCTGCCATGGGCCCTGTACCGCCTCCTCATGCTGCTGCCAGGTCCAGAGTCTCTCATGGGTCCCTGTACGGCCTCCATTTGCTGCTTGTCTCCATCGCCACACTCTGCCATGTGCCACTTTCAGGTCTCCTCACACTGCTGGTGTGTTCCATTTTGTCATAGGGGTGCTGGCAGATTACGGGCCTCCCATTGCTGCTGCCAGGCCCGATAATCTGCCATGGGGCCCTGTACCGCCTCCTCATGCTGCTGCCAGGTCCAGAGTCTCTCATGGGTCCCTGTTACGGCTCCATTGCTGCTGTCTCCATCGCCCACACTCTGCCATGTGCCACTTTCAGGTCTTTCCCAACATGTGGTGTGTTCCATTTTTGTCATTAGGGTGCTGGCAGATTACGGGCCTCCCATTGCTGCTGCCAGGCCCGTAATCTGCCATGGGCCCCTGTACCACCTCCTCATGCTGCCCAGGTCCCAGAGTCTCTATGGGTCCCTGTACGGCCTCCCATTGCTGCTGTCTCCATCGCCACACTCTGCCATGTGCCACTTTCGGTTCAGGTCTTCCTCACATGCTGGGTGTGTTCCATTTTGTCATAGGGTGCTGGCAGATTACGGGCCTCCCATTGCTGCTGCCAGGTGTTAATTGCCATGGGGGGCCCCGTGGATCTGCCATGGGCCCCTGGGGTACCGCCTCCTCATGCATGCTGCTCCAGGGTCAGAGTCTCTCATGGGTCCTGTAGTCATGGGTGTGGTCAGGGCATTGCTGGCTGTCTGCCAGGCCCACACTCTGCCATTGTGCCACGCCTCATGTTCCAGGTCATAGTGTTTAATGGTCCTCACATGCTGGTGGGTTAGCCATTTTGTCTACATGGGTGCTGGGCAGATTACGGGCCTCCCATTGCTGCTGCCAGGCCCGTTAATCTGCCATGGGCCCCCGTACCGCCTCCTCATGCTGCTGCCAGGTCCAGAGTCTCTCATGGGTCCCTGTACGGCCCTCCCATTGCTGCTGTCTCCATCGCCACACTCTGCCATGTGCCACTTTCAGGTCTCCTCACACTGCTGGTGTGTTCCATTTTGTCATAGGGTGCTGGCAGATTACGGGCCTCCCATTGCTGCTGCCAGGCCCGTAATCTGCCATCTACCGACTCCTCATGCTGCTGCCAGGCCCGTAATCTGCCATGGGCCCTGTACCGCCTCCATGCTGCTGCAGGTCCAGAGTCTCTCATGGGTCCCTGTACGGCCTCCATTGCTGCTGTCTCCATCGCCACACTCTGCCATGTGCCACTTTCAGGTCTCCTCACACTGTGGTGTGTTCCATTTTGTCATAGGGTGCTGCAGATTACGGGCCTCCATTGCTGCTGCCAGGCCCGTAATCTGCCATGGGCCCCCGTACCGCCTCATGCTGCTGCCAGGTCCAGAGTGTCTCATGGGTCCTGTAGGCCTCCCATTGCTGCTGTCTCATCGCCACACTCTGCCATGTGCCACTTTCAGGTCTCCTCACACTGCTGGTGTGTTCCATTTTGTCATAGGGTGCTGGCAGATTACGGGCCTCCATTGCTGCTGCAGGCCCGTAATCTGCCATGGGCCCCGTACCGCCTCCTCATGCTGCTGCCAGGTCCAGAGTCTCTCATGGGTCCCTGTACGGCCTCCCATTGCTGCTGTTCCATCGCCACACTCTGCCATGTGCCACTTTCAGGTCTCTCACATGCTGGTGTGTTCATTTTTTGTCATAGGGTGCTGGCAGATTACGGGCCTCCCATTGCTGCTGCCAGGCCCTTAATCTGCCATGGGCCCCCGTACCGCTTCTTGCATGCTGCTGCCAGGGTCCGGCACATGGGTGTTACCGCTCCTCTCACACATGCATGGGTCCAGAGTCTCTCATGGGTCCCTGTACGGCCTCCCATTGCTGCTGTCTCCATCGCCACACTCTGCCATGTGCCCACTTTCAGGTCTCCTCACACTGCTGGTGGGTTCCATTTTGTCATAGGGTGCTGGCAGATTACAGGCCTCCCATTGCTGCTGCCAGGCCCGTAATCTGCCATGGGCCCTGTACGCCTCCTCATGCTGCTGCCAGGTCCAGAGTCTCTCATGGGGTCCCTGTACGGCCTCCATTGCTGCTGTCTCCATCGCCACACTCTGCCATGGTGCCACTTTCAGGTCTCCTCACACTGCTGGTGTGTTTTATTTTGTCATAGGGTGTGCTGGCAGATTACGGGCCTCCCATTGCTGCTGCCAGGCCCGTAATCTGCCATGGGCCCCCGTACCGCCTCCTCATGCTGCTGCCAAGGTCCAGATTGTCATGGGTCCTGTGTTACGGCTCCCATTGCTGCTGTCTCCATCGCACACTTCTGCATGTGCCACTTTCAGGTCTCCTCACACTGCTGGTGTGTTCCATTTTGTCATAGGGTGCTGGCAGATTACGGGCCTCCCATTGCTGCTGCCAGGCCCGTAATCTGCATGGGCCCCCGTACGCTCCTCATGCTGCTGCCAGGTCCAGAGTCTCTCATGGGTCCCTGTACGGCCTCCCATTGCTGCTGTCTCCATCGCACACTTGCCATGTGCCACTTTCAGGTCTCCTCACACTGCTGGTGGGTTCCATTTTGTCATAGGGTGCTGGCAGATTACGGGCTCTCCATTGCTGCTCGCAAGCACTCCAGGCCCGTAATCTTCCATGGGCCCCTGTACCGCCTCCTCATGCTGCTGCCAGGTCCAGAGTGTCTCTCATGGGTCCCTGTACGGCCTCCCATTTGTGCTGTCTCCATCGCCACACTGCCATGTGCCACTTTCAGGTCTCCTCACACTGCTGGTGTGTTCCATTTTGTCATAGGGTGCTGGCAGATTACGGGCCTCCCATTGCTGCTGCCAGGCCCGTAATCTGCCATGGCCCCTGTACCGCCTCCTCATGCTGCTGCCAGGCCGTAAGGTCTGTCATGGTCCCTGTACGGCCTCCCATTGCTGCTGTCTCCATCGCCACACTCTGCCATGTGCCACTTTCAGGTCTCCTCACACTGCTGGTGTGTTCATTTTTGTCATAGGGTGCTGGCAGATTACGGGCCCCCCATGCTGCTGCCAGGCCCGTAATCTGCCATGGGCCCCCGTACCGCCTCCTCATGCTGCTGCCAGGTCCAGAGTCTCTCATGGGTCCCTGTACGGCCTCCATTGCTGCTGTCTCCATCGCCACACTCTGCCATGTGCCACTTTCAGGTCTCTCACACTGCTGGTGGTGTTTCCATTTTTGTCATAGGGTGCTGGCAGATTACGGGCCTCCCATTGCTGCTGCCAGGCCCCCGTAATCTGCCATGGGCCCCCGTACCGCTCCTCATGCTGCTGCAGGGTCCAGAGTCTCTCATGGGTCCCTGTACGGCCTCCCATTGCTGCTGTCTCCATCGCCACACTCTGCCATGTGCCACTTTCAGGTCTCTCACATGCTGGTGTGTTCCATTTTTGTCATAGGGTGTGGCAGATTACGGGCCTCCCATTGCTGCTGCCAGGCCGTAATCTGCCATGGGCCCTGTACGCCTCTCATGCTGCTGCCAGGTCCAGAGTTCTCTCATGGGTCCCTGTACGGCCTCCCATTGCTGCTGTCTCCATCGCCACACTCTGCCATGTGCCATTTCAGGTCTCCTCACACTGTGGTGTGTTCCATTTTGTCATAGGGTGCTGGCAGATTACGGGCCTCCCATTGCTGCTGCCAGGCCGTAATCTGCCATGGGCCCCCGTACCACTCCTGCTGCTGCCAGGTCAGAGTCTTCATGGGTCCTTGTACGGCCCTCCCATTGCTGCTGTCTCCTCGCCACACTCTGCCTTGTGCCACTTTCAGGTCTCCTCACACTGCTGGTGGGTTCCATTTTGTCATAGGGTGCTGGCAGATTACGGGCCTCCCCATTGGCTGCTGCCCAGGCCCGTAATCTGTCATGGCCCCCGTACCGCCTCCTCATGCTGCTGCCAGGGTCCAGAGTCTCTCTCATGGGTCCCTGTACGGCCTCCATTTGCTGCTGTCTCCATCGCCACACTCTGCATGTGCCACTTTCAGGTCTCTCACACTGCTGGTGGGTTCCATTTTGTCATGGGTGCTGGCAGATTACGGGCCTCCCATTGCTGCTGCCAGGCCCGTAATCTGTCATGGGCCCCCCCGTACCGCCTCCTCATGCTGCTGCCAGGTCCAGTGTCTCTCATGGGTCCCTGTTACGGCACCTCCCATTGCTGCTGTCTCCATCGCCACACTCTGCCATGTGCCACTTTCAGGTCTCCTCACACTGCTTGGTGTGTTCCATTTTGTCATAGGGTGCTGGCAGATTACGGGCCTCCATTGCTGCTGCCATTGGCCCTTAATCTGCCATGGGCCCCGTACCGACTTCTCATGCTTGCTGCCAGGCCCGTTATCTGGGTGTGTTCCATGGGCCCTGTACCGCTCCTGTCCATGCTGCTGCCAGGTCCCAGAGTCTCTCATGGGTCCCTGTACGGCCTCCCATTGCTGCTGTTTCCATCGCCACACTCTGCCATGTGCACACTTCAGGTCTCCTCACACTGCTGGTGTGTTCCATTTTGTCATAGGGTGTGGCAGATTACGGGCCTCCCATTGCTGCTGCCAGGCCCGTAAATCTGCCCATGGGGCAACCCTGTACCGCCTCCTCATGCTGCTGCCAGGTCCAGAGTCTCTCATGGGTCCCTGTACGGCCTCCCTTTGCTGCTGTCTCCATCGCCACACTCTGCCATGTGCACTTTCAGGTCTCTCTCACACTGCTGGTGTGTTCC